ACGTCTTTATTCTCATAAACATTGCCCTTTATTGTTATCTCTGTTAAATGAGGCTGACCTTTGTCAATATACGAAAAGAAAAAAATCTTTTTTTTTACCGTCTGTCCGAAGCTATCGGCTATTTACAGAACATTTAATATTTATTAGACAACAGTTTCACAATAAAGGATTGTCCATGTTTTGTTTTTCATTACAAGGTGGCAAGCAGCGGGCAGCCATATAAATTCTCCAATATACCGAAGCGACCACTACCCATAGACATCGGCAATTGCAGTGCCTACCTCCAATTGACGGAGGAAACGGAATATTTTCCATTCCTAAGATAAGAAAAGGGTGGTAAAGGAAAGGGAAAAGTAACCACATTAGACGTCCGGCATGCACGCTCGTAAAAAACAAAAATTAAATCTTCGTATTACCATATAGAACACAAAAGCCAAATTGCTTGGTAAGGAGATAGAAACGTCTTGTACAAGAACTTTTGTTCCAACTCAAATATCAAACCACTCACTTTCCAAGTTCGATGATTATTGCTAAGATGCTTGTCTGAAGTACGTTTTATTGAAAAATAAAAATCATTAAAAACATAGCATAACTGTTAAATCGTTCAATTGCTCTTAAATTATATCAGGAGCGTTTTAATTTTCATCTTTTTCGACATACATTGGGATAGAAAACAGTCCACATAGTTTCATATGTCAATTGTTATTTGCAAGTGAAGTACTGTTAACTCATTTTATATTTAAAACTAATAATGTGCATGCCTTTTTCAACTTAATAGTTGACAGATATCTTGACGGCTCTTAATTTTCCACGAATCGCGAAAACATAATTTTAGTTGTAGCAGATGTCAGGGGGATGCGGGCGGAGGGCACTGAGCATCGCGTCAATGACCTTGACCTCAAAGATATTTGAAAATAATTTTATATATGTCTATGTGCAATGTTGCATCCTCTTACCAGAATGGACGTCAGGTTTAAAATGTATATTTATATTAATTACCAATGAATTCTATACTAATAATATTTTTGTAGAAATACACTGAAATAAATATAATTTTCCAACAAAGAAATATTCGTGGCTCGTATCGAGGCTTATTACAGTGGTATTAAGGTCACATGCAAGATATTTTGACAAACGCTAATGAAGAAAAAAATATAATATTACTGAAATCAAATCATATGTTTTATTCTGAGAACTGCACCATATTAATATATATTTTTAATGTAAACATGTTGATATTTTAAAGGACGAATATTGTTCGATTCGGCCCTTAAATATAACAAGATAAATTGTCGATAAGAATCATTCGGACAGTACGAACTCATTAGGCTATGTTTGACGAAAAATATTGATAAAATACTTATTTGCCACTTCGGCCACCGTGACCAGATCCCTGCATTTAAGCGCCTTGGAGGGCGGGCACCTGTCTCCACCTGTGTCCTTATGATTTTTTTTATATCATAAGGTGGCAAACAAGCGAGCGGTCACCTGAAATCGCTGAAATGCGAAGTGACCGTTGCCAATAGACATACGCTATTGCATATGCGTTGCCTACCTTTAATCGACGGAGGAGAGGAAGCACAGAAAGATAATATTTTCCCTTCCCTTGCATTCTCTCATCCGGAAAGTCCACTTCCACTTCCCATCCTATCTTTATAAGAAAAAGGGTACGAAGGGAAAGAGGACTAAATTAGCCCTCGGGACGCACACTCATCAAACGGATTTTATATCTGCGGAACCCAGCTTCTCATTGAACCCTAAACTAGATATATTTTGAAAATTCGACATTACGCATCTATATCTAATAAAAAGTTTCTTAGTGTGTATTTTTAGGCGTTTAACGTGTTAAAAATTACAATAATACAATAACAAAATCTTCCAAGTAAATATCTACGTTCAATTAAAGTGAAAAGCATAGAAAGCTAGCAGCTGTAACTTTCTTTAGCACTTACCACGTGGAAAACTGAGAGGGTTACGTCATCTACACACTCCATCCGCTGTTAGAGCTGCCGACGTACAAAGAGCACCACTTACTACTTTTCAGCAGAAAGTATTCAATTATATCGAACCTTTTTATTAAGCTTTTCAAAAATTTCTTTACTAATGCATTCAATAGAAAACTAGCCATCGCCCGCGGCTCCATTAGTGCAGAATTAAAAGTGTACAGCCGTTCTGTAGATATCTTCTAACAAACATCCATACATGCATTCAAAGTTTCACTTATAATATTAGAATTATTTCGACTTCGCATTGGTAGTGATTAGAAATTTATATAATTCCATAGACGTTTTAGCAGTTTAGACACGTTCTTAGCTCATTTTTTATTTTCATCAAACACGCTATTCCGTACTATGTACTAGCAAATAGAACGACGACATAATAATAGGAAAAGCTATTCTGCGGCTTCAACGACAATTTTAATAGTCCTCGTTCAAAACACATGTAACAACTAACTAACCACCAATTGTCAACTGCACTAACTACGAACTGCGACGATTAAGTACTAATTGTACTGAATAAAACAAAGCTCTTACAGATAACCTCAATATAGTGTCTATCTATAGATATAAAGAAAGTTGTGTTAGTTACATTATTTATAAATCAAGAACGGCTTTACCGATATGGTTGAAAATTTGTGAGGATGTACCTTAGAGCCAGGAGACAGGCATAGGATACTATTTATTCTTTTTTTTTGGAATTTGTGCTTTGAAGTACTGCTTTTTATTTAAGTTACTAATATTATAAATGCGAATGTTTAGATGGATGTGATGTGGATGTATAGGTGGGCTACACTAATTAAGTTTTTTATATATCCACGCGGACGGAGTCGCGGGCGACAGCTAGTTTAAGATAGATTAGTTTGACAATTCTTTTGACATTTCACTCGATATGGGTTGAATAAAATCGATTAAGAATTTTTAGATTTTCAATGGTTGTTCTCATAGAACTTGCAATAGAAAATTAGTGATTATTGTTTTTGAATTACAATATAAATGAAATTGTCTCATTCTCTTCCTAATGTATCCTTCATAACACCATTAAATCATTGTTGATAATAAAAAAAAGAAAGCCAAAGAACTGTAATAAATTTAAAAAGTTTTATTAAAACTAAACTATAGTACCCATTTCTTCTATCACAATCGATACTCGATAGTTCACAGTTAATCGTTGAGCGTAATGACAACTGTCAATTAAGTACAAATTTAAACCTCATACGAAATTAATTCGGTACTTTATCAGCGTCAGTTGTCAAACTCATCATCATCATCAGCTCATTAACCTACCCTAATTTAAGGATGATTAGGCCATAGTCAACCACGCTGGCCAAGTGCGGGTTGGTTGACTTCACACATATCTTTTGAATTATTTCTCAGATATGTGCAGGTTGCATCACGATGTTTTCCTTCACCGTAAGAACGTCGGATAAATGTACATATGTAAATCGGAAATCGAAAAACACATCGGTACATGGCGGGATTCGAACCCAGGACCTGCAGATTGCAAGTCAAGTGCTTGACCACTGAGCCACCGACGCTCCACAAACTAATCTATCTTAAATAGACACACTTTAGTATATGGTTTAAAGCAAATATCGTAGCTTAAAACAAAAGAATTCTTTTATGAAATTAAATTATGATTGGTATCTATTGTTGCTTAGTAATCTTACTTCTTACTAATATTATAAATGCGAAAGTTTAGATTGATGGATGGATGTTTATTAGAAAGTATCTCCGGAAATGTTGAACGCATCTTAATATAATTTGGCACAGATGTAGAACATAGTCTGGAAGAACACATAGGCTATTAGGATTTTTTTTAATCCCGCGCGGACGGAGTTAAGGGCGAAAGCTGTTATTAGATAAATCCCATTTTTTTGTGTGTACTAAAACGCTGAATGATAACAATTTTGACAGTTATAATACTAAATAACATTTATTTAAAAAAAATCATCTTTTCGTATGTCAATTATAAAAAAATTCCGCTAAAAATATGTAAATAATTTCATGTTCATATAAAAATTTTGTTCAGCGTTTTCACAATATTCAAGGGCCCTTACACACCTACCTAAATAACCAACGGCTCGTAAAAAGGTAGTGAAATCATGATTTACGTATAAAATCACGAAGAATATTGATGGAAAAGGACCAACCAAATCGTTTAAGCGAATTTCATATTCGTTTTGTAATTTTTATACAAAAATTGCCTTTAAAAATAACGTTTATAATGTTAATTTTAATTTAACTTGAAGTTTTGAAGCAAATTTCCTATTTATTTAAATAACTAGGTATCGCCCGTGACTCCGTCCACACGAAATTTAAAAAAAAATAAGTAAAATATGTGTTCTATCAGACTTTTTACATCTATGCCAAATTTCATCGAAATCCTTTAAGCCGTTTCGGAAATACCTTCATACAAACATCCATCCATCCATCAAAACAGACGCATCTATAATATCAAATAAATAAATGGTTTATTCAGGCAAAAAAAAGTATGAATAAATTACAAAGTAGTAGTACGCCTGGTTCCTAAACTAGGTTCTAGACCCGTATTATTGGAGCCAAGACTCTTTCGTCTTAATGCTATAGTTTAAGTAAAAGGTTAGTGACATAATAAAATTGCTTGTCTTACTTAAAAATTAGAAAAAAAAATTATTACTAGTCATCATCATCACCAGCTCACTGTAAGTCACCACCGAGGGGCTCGGAGCCTACCCTAAATCAAGGGTGACTATTAGTAAAATAGTAAGAAGTAAGATAAGACTTGAAATAAATATAAAACAAACTATAGACCAACACCAGATTCAAGTTGCCTCGTGTACAAAGGGCCTTTGGGTGTATTTCATCAGTGGATACCAAAGCTTTTTAATAACAGTTAACAATGCATAATGAAAGCTTATCCCTACAGCGTAGCATAAAAGCTTGAACGCCTGAAGTGGGAAATCGTAGCAGCCACGCTTGAAGAACGGCGTTTAGTCGAAAGTTAGCGTCCGTTCGTAACGGACTCCTCCACCTACAGCCGTAGACGCGCGTAAAGTTTGTATTCTTGCAAAAAAAATTATAATTTACTTGAAATTTAATATTTTTTTTACTTTTATACGTTTCCTTAATTTTAAAAGTGTAATAGTAATGTTATTTAAAGTGGATTTTATTAAACCGTGAAAAGTTTTGTGAATGGCAAGTTTTTACAAATAAGGAAAAGTTATAGTAAGTAATGCTTTTTTTTTTATTTTTGAATTTTTTTTAAGTGAGGTTATAATTTGTAGATTATCTTTCAAATATTTAATTCATAAAAAATGAAATTAACGTAATTTTGTTCTATTTTTTATTGTTTATGCACCAATACTTTATACATGCTTTTGTCTGTAAGTGAAATAACATGTTTCCTAAAACCTTTAGTAATAGTGCCAAAAATGTATATAAGAACACATGTACTTTTGTTGACAAACCAAATAAATAAATAAGTAAATAAGTAATTATGGTAAATGAATAAATTATTTTTTTATATTTAGTTTTTCGTAAATCTTTTTTATTATAGTTATGTAACATTAATATATATTTTTTTATCCTTATAAATGCTTTCAATGGTAAAATACGAATCCGAAACACCTTATCAGTGTCAATAAAAATTAACATTATGATTTTTATTTAATAGTATTATATAATATATAAATAAAACATTTATACTATGGCGATCTTCAAAAATAATTCTGGGCGAAATTTTCGCAGTTAAATATTTACTTTTATATACAAATTAACGACAAAAATATGTTAACTATAAAATAGTAACCTTAGTTGTTTCGTGTCAACGTAAATACTGCAAAGAGGAAATATTCAGGAATGTAATCTAACGAGACTTAAGATTTTTACCGTCGGTTTCCACTGCCAAGCAATATATTAAAAACATATTTTTATTTCTATCTATCAAAGGCAAGATGTATGAAAATATTTTGGCATCACCAGTGGAAGCTAATGGTTAATAAGAAATAGTCAACAGCCTTTTAAATAAAAAGGTCTCCAGGTATTTCATCATTTCAGAAGTTACAGAAATATCCGATAAGTATTTAAGTTCGTTGTTCTTAAAGTAACAATAAAAGAAAACGCCATGTTAACTTTGTAAGAGTTTCTTTAATGTGTCCCTAAAGACGTTGAAATACATCGCTTTTCTTCTTGCTTGAAAGTTTTCGGAACAAAACACAATCAAGTATAAACTATAAAGGGTGTTAGTTTATTATTGTGCCGTTTAAGTCCTTAGAATCGAAGAACAATTAAACCAAAGAATTGTTTTTCGATAAGGATTAATTGGAGCCAGCGAGAAACACCCTCTATAATAGCAAAAAATTACATCGTCACTTCGCGAAGGTTGGTTAAGAAAATTCTAATTACACATATATTGTAGCCAAAAATATATTCGAAAAAATCAATTAATCTTGTTTAATTCACTTTATATAAGCACATATTTTCAAGCTAAGAAAAATCTTCCACTAAAATTAAATATTGCAAATAAAAACAACTTACTTAAATACAAAATAAGCTACATAAGAATATTAATATTACATTTCCTCAAGCTATTTTTTAAAAATAAATTATTATTCTCTTTGAGACAAACTCTTTAAAATGACTTTTATGACGCGGTAATAAGCTTTTATTGCGGTCTTTCTGAAGTGAGCTCTTCATTTATCTGACATTTAATAAACACGAAATAATAATAATTTTATTTTTTTTACTTTAAATATATCCAGCAATAAAGTTCATTAGTATTACACGAAATAATTTCTCAATAATAAGATAATCTTACTAATTTCATAGATGCGAATATTAGATGGATGAGTGGATGGATGTTTGTTTAAAGGTATCTTCAGAACGGCTGCATGAATCTCTGAAATTTGGCATAAATATAGAACATATTCTAGAAGAACACATATGCTACTAATTAAGTTTATTTTTAATTAAACAGACGGAGTTGCATGCGACAGCTAGTTATTATTATTATACATGTTTAAGTCATAGAATCTTTTTTCGATTTCCCTTTAAAAAAAAAGGTTCGTCTACACGTATAAGCTATTATTATTTTTTTAGAATGTAATGAGCGATATTCTCGGCTCAATCCCTAAAGACTTCGATAGGTTACGTGTCACATAAATTCTGGTGATTCGTGCCTTTTAACGACTTAAGTTATATCTCTTATCCCATAACCATCATAAAATGATCCCTGATCACTTCATTAAGTGAATACGAAGCTGTCTCGGACATAAATGTAGGAAGACACACTTAGCTTACTTGTATAAAGGTGAGAGGTCATGCTTCATACGTTTTCTTTGTCATCTCTTAAAATTAATCTTTATATATTCGTGGGTTTAAATCTAATCAATAAACTTTGTCAGCTGTTTAGCGAAATTGTTTTTATGCATTTTACTGTAACTAACATTTCCGTTATAGAGTCTCAAATATTTTTACTCTATCATGATGATAGTGTAAATTATTGTACACTTATGTTAAATTTACTCTAACTGTACGGTTAATTGAAAACTAAATATATCTCAGTAAGGTTACGTAATTGATTAGATTAATAATTGGCAAGAACACAATACATGGTAGTCGATAATATGTGCAGACTATTATTATTTTACAATACAATAAATTAACACTTTATTTTACTCTTAATAACTAATTACACTTTTCCCAAGAGTGAACACGTGGAAGAAATATACTAATATGAATAACACTTAACAATACTCTTGTACTGTCTTAGGGCCCTAAGCGGGCGCCCTTGATTCGGGCCCTGGGGCGCCCGTGATTCGGGCCCTGGGGCGCCCGTGATTTGGGCCCTGGTGCGCCCGTGCGTCGTGTCCTATGACAACCATTATTGTCAAATCTGTCCTGTCCATCTAATCCTAATTGATGCTTGATAAATATATTAAAAAGAAACATTTATGTAGTACAAAAGTGAAATTTAATTTATCACGTTTATAAGACATGTGACAAACCTTTTCTTAGACGTGTGATTGTGTTTTGTGCCTTACAATAAAATAGTCGCGAATCCCGAATCGGAAATGGAATTTTTTGCTCGTACTTATTTGTGTATTTTAAATATGTTTTAGTTAATCTAAATATTAGTTTTATAACAAGAATTCTTTTTTTTTCGTTTTAGAATCAGTTAAATGTCGAGTCATTGTTAACAGCAATGTTTAATATGAAACCTTGGTTAGATCGTAAACTCCGTACCGTTTGATTATCTGTTTCTGGCTTCATTATTAAAATAAAATTCTTTTTTATAATCAGAAATCTCACAGCCATGAGTCAACATTTTTATAATAATATAAAAAATTTTAACTAAACATTTTGCACGTATTATTTTTGGAAGGTGTTAAACCTTGAAACGTGCATCAATTCTAACGGAATAAAATTCAAGTAATAAAATTTCATCCTGAACATTTCAGTAGCGCACGTTGCTTAAAATAATAAAAATAACGTAAACGATACTATTCTTGCTTTATATTCAATAGCTATCCGTTATCGTATTTGATTCAGAATGTATTCAGGATGAACGCATACATCATCTCCGAAACGGATCGGAAATCTTTGCTTTTAAACATACTAGCAACTGCCCGAGACTGCATCCGCGAGGAATTAAATAAACTTAAGAACTTATTTCTATAATTACATATAGTCTTAAATCTATGATATAAAATAAAGTATTAAAAAAAAACTAAACTTAAGAACTATGTGTTCATCTAGACTATTTTCTACATCGATGCCAAACAGCAAAATCTCTTTAGTTGTTTTGTAAATACCTTCTAACAAACATACATCCATCGATCTAAACATACGCATTAATAATATTACTACCTGTCATCCTCAGGTGCGTTGCGCGAAGTTAAAAAAAAAAACTTAATTAAAAATCTATGTGCTCTTCCAGTTTTTTTTCTACATCTATGTCAAATTTCAGCAATATCCTTTTATCCTTTGTGGTGAAACGCATTTATAACAGTACTAGCTGTCGCTCGCGACTCCGTCCGCTCGGTATTTAAAAAAAAAATTATTAGTAGCCTATGTGTTCTTCCAGACTATGTTCTATATGTTTCTCAAATTTTATCGAGATCTGTTAAGCCGTTCGTTCGCATTTATTACCTAAGTATGAGTAAGATAAAGATTACGCAGAATAGTTTAAAGATGATATCCATTGTCGGATTTAGCAGACGACGTCCGAAATATGGTGCTAAAGGCTTTATAGATATTAAGTGTAAATATTTTTGTTTGTTATATATTGTTATTGTTATTATCATTTTTTTTTAAATTTTATATCGCTTGCTTGTATAGTTTACTGTATTTTTGTAATTAGCTCATAACTTGATTGATTATGTGTTTGTTTATTATGGGACTGACATGTTCAAAAGAACAAAAGTCCCAAAAAAAAATAGAGAAAAAAAAAAGTTGATATTATTTTTTTTTACTATAGTCTCACGCTGTTATCTAGTTCGAATAGAAAGGCGTTTATACCACTGATAGTTTTGTTCAGAAAGTAATATTTCATAGATTAAATAACTATTGAATAAAAACTCTTATAAAAGATCTTTGCACTCTATTTAAATAAACAGTATTCCATTTAAAGCTGCATTTCTTTTCAAGCACTTAATGTATCGAGCAACTGTTCAAGATATTTACCAACACTGTTCAATATAATATTTTTCTTTAATAGCGACCTCAATAACGCGACCCTATTAACTTTATCGTCCACCTACACCTTAATGGAATCTTAAACTATCACCTTTATGACTCAAGGGTGATTCTTTGATTTATAACATTTAGTACAGCAGATGTTTTAATAGAGCGTGAGAGTTTGGTTTTTGAGAATAAAAATTCGTTAAAATTTTAAACCAAACATTCTCTCAATTTAAACTATGGTATAAGTACATCCTGTATAATAAACTTTAAATAATTGAAGATTGTAATAACCATGGGTTTCCACTATAGGCGCTCATACGAAAACGTATTGTCGTCTTACCATCCTTGGTTGGTTTCTGATAGCACAAAATCTCTTTATAAAACATAGTTTCATTCCTTTCATTATCTTTAAGAAAACAGAGATAACAATATGTTTTAAACGAAGATTTCAGTCTCAGAAACCCATGGTTACACGGTTTTCCTGATACACCTGAAATGATAACATGTTTTAGAGATGAAAAGATACGTAATTATTAAACACG